GAATCCCTTAATTTAGGGAGAATTGACATTTTCGTATTGTCAAGACTTCCATTCATAGGTCAGTGATTTCAGAGACACTGAGCAGTTTCCACTGAACAATGCGCTAGCGATTACAATGATTCTGCTCCCTGCTTAATTAGTACCTGACCTATTGCCCAAGGTGGATCCCGGAGTGCTGAACACAGGTCTCTGCGGGGACACTGCCTCACAGAAGAACCAGGGAACAAAACAGAACTGCACTCTGACTGTAATAAAAGGAGAGCTCTGAAAATCAACAAGGGAATTCTAAGTAGCACCTAGAGGCAGAAAAGCAACCTAAGGCAAAGAACAATGCAAATTGCAACTTCAACCCTGAGTACCCAGGAAAAGGTGGGTGGGAAAGAACCACCAACTCCATCCTAGCAGCAGACCAGCATCCCAGAGGAGCGTTCCATAGTCCCCACAGGCTCCCTTCCAGGCTGGGGAGCGGACTGGTCCAAGAGCAAATGCTCTGCTCCAAAGAAAGAACTTGCACTGGGCTTTCCCAACCCCCGGAAGCCACCACCAGTTACCCTCCTGCCCAGGGACCACCAGCTGGCCTCCTGGCACCACCAAAAGCCTTGGACCCATGTGCACCTGACAAGACAGAGAACAGTCCCCTTTGCATCCTGAAGCTCCAGGATAGTCTGCCAGAGCCACCAACCCCAAGTCCCACCCAAGATTGCCCTGTGGGCTAAGGAAGGTCTTTCCCCCTTCCCTGATCACAGTCCTAGTTTCTCCTGACCCTGTCTCATGGGTACTGGGAAAGGTTCGCATCCTGCAGCTCCAAGGTATACAGCTAAAAGCAAGACTATCATATGATCCAGCAATCCCTGTACCGGTATATTTTCATAGATGAAATCATTATACCAAAAAGATACTTGTACTTTCCCATGCTCACTGCAGCACTATTCACAACAGCTAAAATACGAAACTGATCTAGCTACCCGTGATTGGCAGATGGATATATACATATACACATGTGTGTATACATACATTT